TTGCCAAATTTCTCGTATGATTCAAGTTATTTTAAAAGTTTCTAAAACATTTTCACATATCATATTTCAAATTTGTATTTTTAGTTAAAAATACTTTCTTTTTGAATTCCTTTATTGAATTTTCAATTTTTTCTTTTAAATACACGCATAATGTTATTCATCTCAAAATGTATTTTTTGACAAGAGCTTTCCCTCAACCACATTCTTAATATGGTTGAGGGAAATCCCTCAACCTCCATTAATTTAGGATAAGGTTTAATCTTTAATTCTTGTTTTTTATTTTTAATATGTTATTTGAATTTTGCTCACATGGAATCAAACGTCTATTACTGTAGCAAATTTGTTAAAAATGTTATTTTGTGTGTGTTTCCAGAAAAAGCTGCTAAACACTTTATGATTTTAAATACTGATTCAGGATATACACCTTTAAATTATAATGCTTTTAGAATGAAGTGCAGAATGCTATAAAAATTACTTCAATGCTCAGATGACTGTGGGATTCATAGATTTAATAGAGTAAAAAATTCCATTAAATATTTTTTTTGTTCTTTATTTAGCTAAAAACAATATTAAAATAATACACACACAAATAAATAAAAATAAAAATAATACCTTTACATACAGAATTTACAGATACTATTTACTTATAAGTTTATTTGTTGTTGATGGTTACTTTTTATTATACTTGGAAAAATTATACTTACATACATATGCTCTTAATATTACACGTATCTGAATATTTAAATGATAATTCCATAACATAATAAGATTCAATCTATATCACAGCAAAGACAATACTTAAATCACAGTTCTTTTTATTAATTAATTTGCATAAGTAAAAACATAAAAATATTATTTAGCTTCAAATCTATAAAATAAGTCCTCTAGTAACAAACATATGACAAACACATATAGTGAAAATAAAGATAAATAAATAAAAATGTTTTGCTTTTTTGTCTAATGTAGTGCAATTCAGTCTATTATATTCAAATTTTATTAAAACATACTGCAGTAATTGAATTTTTTCCATTATACATCAAACAGCTTTATATAGAATGATATTATATTAGTTTTACTTTTAAAACTAATATAATATAATTAATTCTCATTTATATGCAGAGATGTTTGAATAAATGCAAAAAACCATCTGAATAAATCTTAGCCAACACTATTCAGATAGTATTCTTGTTTTCAAGGTATATCATTTTTATTTTGTTCTTTTTCCATTAAAGGAGCTAACCTAAGAGACTTATTTCATTTACATATATCTCATTGATATTATAAATATAGCTTAAACATGTTTTATGTGCATACTCAAAGGGGGGTGGGAAGTAAGCCTTGATTCAAAATCTGTTTTAAAGCAATAAGTAAATAAATAAAATACACTGGTTCTATTAGAATGTCAAAAAATACTGTTATGTATTCTATAAACAAATCCAAATTATCACATCATACTACATAACCCTGGTACAAAAGAAGAAATGTCTGATTAGGAACATACTCTATTTATTTGGTAAAAAAGAAGAGTAAAACATATGCAACATCACATTATGAAAAATCCTGCAAGCCATTACAATACTATAAGACATTGATTAGTAAGGTAAACATCAGTTGATCATTCTTTCACAACAGCAATAAATGTTTCATTCAAAATTCCTAATAACATGCCAAAACAGATTCACAATTGATGCCTCATTTAAGGTCACACAAAAGTAAATCCGATTTAGCTGACTATGAGATCTTCTATTGTAGAGGACTTTCTAAGGAGAACTGGCTTGTATTCACATTACACATGGGGAAAAAACAAAAACCACAAAAAAAAAAAAACCAACCATGCAGCCAGCCTGTTCGGAAATAGAACAGAAGATGGAACTCCCAGCATTCAGTAACTTTAACCATTCAGCTGTTGGTGGGCCTAATTATTATTCGAAGAAGAGACAAGCAGCAATTTTTCAGTGACAACTACTCTACTTTTTTACAGACAGAACTGAACAGCAAAAACTTCTTAAACTCTTGATTAGATTCTAGTTTACTTTCTTCCTTTTAAAAGCAGGAGATGCAAAACTTTGCCGCTGCTGCCTTTTATTTTGAAGAAGCTTCTTGAGACCAATTCCACGGGCAGTCAAATAATATTTTATTATCTTTGTTTTGATATTGCAACAGGAGGGAATATTTACCTCGCCTGCTTTCTTACAAATCATATTAACAAATTCCACATCCATAGTTACATTTCCATGTATTATTTCGTCTCGAAAATTTTGAATTATTTTTTCACACAGAAGGCACAATTTAAAAATTTCTGGAGAAGGACATTTAAGCCCACCTAAATTTGCAAAATTAATTATGTACTGCTTATTTTCATCAATGGAAGGAGTATTTTGCTCACAAACTAAGAGAAACTGTGAGCATGAATTACAAGCATTTTTCAAAACAGAATTTATTGCAGCTCCTGCAATATAACAGACGTTATTTTCCTCACTAAGGGTGAGATTCTGTAGAGATACATCAGAAACTTCTGGTATGGTAACAGGCTCTAAAGCTTTTTTTTCTCCTTCAGAAATTCAAATTCATCTTTCGCATAGTTTAATAAGTAAATATCTGAATCAGTAGCATAACTGGAGTTCTTAATGTCAGATATAAACTGAGATAAACAGATAAGCTTTAATGCTTTCACAGCTTGCAAAGCACTTGGCCTCAAACCAGCTTTTCTGCGTATCTGAGAAAATACATTTTCTAGAGCATCTTGTGTCAATCTGCTCGTCAAAATAAACTGAAAATCATTCAGAAAACATGCCTCTGCTAACTGTATGGCTGATAAAGTAGAAAGAATCAAACCAGTATGTAATGGTTTCCACCCTTTACCAATTTCTATAAGCTGTATAACATTAATAAATTCAAAAAGTAACTCAATTTTTTTGCTTTTATTTGTCACAGAAATTGAGTTCTTTCTACATCTAGAGGATAGCATTTGAAACCACTGACATATAAATCTTATCCACCATGCTGTTGTAAGAGCATTAGGGCTTATCTCTTTTAAAGCTACTGCCTTCTCCAATCCCACAGCTGTTTTAATTGAAAAAAAAACCTCACAGCAGAAGCAACATTCATTTTATCAAAATGTGAGGGGAAGAGGTCTTCTTTGCTGAGATGATGCATAGTTCTCAAACCACAATTTTGGTTTGTTTCAGTAATCCAGATATCTTTTATAAATCCTGCAGATACATGCAAAGTAACCAAATTTTCTTTATTGCAAACATAACTGGGCAGTTTTATACTATGATTAAGAGTTGCAGACCAGAGATTTTTTAAAAGATGTGGCACATCTGCAAATACATAAATAATTTTGCCCTTAATTTCAGTAGTGAAATTATTTCTTTGGTTTCGAGAAACAGATATTCCCAAAGAATTCCACAGGCTTCTATTTACTGCTGCCATATCGCTAACAATACCAACAACATTAAATCCAACAGAATTGACAGCTTCGATAACATTGACAACAAGTTGTTTGAGCTGGCATCCTGTTACCTGTCCAGTTATCTCATGGGCAACCACTTGCTTCCATTTCAGCTTCAAACCTCTTAGTAAAATAACTAAATAGTGATTTCCTGCACCCTTTTGATTTCCTAATGTACATTTACCAATAAATTTACGTTTTGAAATATCAAAATCAGGATTGCCAGAAATCTCCATTTCATCCAATGATAAAATACAGTCTTTATCACTAGCATTCATTTTTTCTCCTTTAATTTTCAAAAGTTCAATCATCTCACTGATGACTCCAAAATTCATTTCCAGACCTTGAAGTCTTTTATTTAAAGTGCTGTATGAAGGCACAGGAAAGCCTATTCTGTGCAAGTAATTATAACCATGCTTGCCCAAGACAAATCTAACTTTGACGCCTTTTATTATTCCTTCGTTAGACCATTTTGCAATGCTTCTACCTGGGATTTTCAACATTGCTATTTGCTCATCTGAAAGGAATGTTTTCACTTCTTTCAGCAATTCCTCATGCTGTACTTGAAGATCGTGAAGTTGAATTTAAGTAGTGCTATGCCATTTTTTTTAAAACATTAATTTTTTTTTTTTTTTTTTTTTTTTTTTGTTGTTGCTGTAAGTTTTTTCAGAAATAATTTATTTTGGCGCTGCAGAAGCGAGATCAATTCAGTCTGCTGTTTTATAATATTCCTTGAAAAACATCCTGGAATAAAGAAAAAATCTATGAATAATCATCAAAAACAAACAAACAAACAAAAAAGATCTGAAAGGTTTCAGATTTTAAATTACACCCAAAGGGGCTTTTTTTAACATTTTGTGTTTTACCTTTATTTATTAAATATCAAGTTTTTCACACTTAAACTATAAAATTCAGTTCAACAGCAATATTGCAAGATAATTTTAAAATGAAGCATATCTTCAGAATTCCCGATTCATTGTCTCACACGCGCTGGAGATAAAAGTGTCTTTTCTGTACAACATTGCCATTGCTCGCTTTGAAATCCTCAAGTTTGTTAATCAAAAATTCGTTAAAGTTTTACAACATATAAAATATATATTAAAACAAATTCCGAATTTCAAATTCGGTCTTCCAGATGTCCATATTCACAGTAGAATTAAGTCATTCAAAATTTGATGGCTCTAGGTACCGTTGTTTTATCAGAATGCAAAAAACATACATGCATTTATGCAGATTCTTCACTATATAATTTCTTTAAATATAGTACAGGGTGATAATATTTGGTGGCAACAATTTGAAAAGTGATGCAGCCGTTTATAGTGTTTTCAATACAAAACGAAAACAATAGTCCTTCAGGGACAACAAAGCCCCTTTGGATTAAATGCCAAACTTAAACAGATAATAAATCCACAAAATAAAAATGCAACTTCCAGGTCTCTTTTCCTATACTGTGGGTGGGTTTTTAAATTTGACTCTATTGTTTTCAGCATTTTTTTCAGCATTTTCTATTATTTTGTTTATTTTCTAATTTTTAATATTTAAAATTTATTTCACTTAAAAATAGATTTTTAAAATTTATTTCCAGCTTTTCAAGGGATCGATTATCTCCATAATCATGAGCAATTTAATAACACAAATTATCAACTTATATCACAGCCTTCACAAATGCTGATGAAATTAATTAAAATTAATTACAATTTGGTTGCAAGATGAATCTAAAGGTTGTTTTTGCAAACAAAACTGAAATTTACATAGAGAATTTGCAACTATTGATGAAATTAATTACATTCCTTTTACCAAAAAATTACTTTATAGAACATTTTAAATGTATATAAGGAAGCAATTTAATTATACATTAGTTATCAACTTACATCAGAGCCTTCACAAATAGATGGTATTTCATTGCAAAATGAGGCTAAAGGCTGTTCTTGCAAACAAACCTGAAATGTACACAAAGAATTTGTAAATGCTGATGAAATTAATTACATTCCTTTTACCCCCCCCCAAAAAAAAAAAGTTAATAGAAACGTTTTGTATAAGCAAGCAATTTAATAATACACTAATTATCTACTTACATGAGATCCTTCACAAATAGATGGCATTTTATCACAAGATGAAGTTGAAGCTTGTTCTTGCAAACAAACCTGAAATATATATATAAGAAATTTAGAAATACAGATGATATAAACTACATTCATTTTAAGAAATAATTATTTTACATAACATTTTATAATTCACAAACAGATAATAAATTTTTACACTCAAAATTAAAAAAATAATTCCATAGCATAACAGCCAGATATAGTACAGCTGTTTAGCAAGGCACACAATAAGACAAACAATTTCATATTTCAGAAATCATATTAAAATTCCTTAATATATGTAAAACATATGACATCTCTCCAAAATATGAAGCTGAAGGTTGTTGCAAATGAACCTAAAAGAAATAATATATGAAATACGTGGAAGTGAAAGAATTTTAGAAACTCTGGTCAGATAAAAATAATCATTACCATTTCAAAAGTAATTTTCAACTTATAAAAAAGGAAAAATACATTGGACTGTTCATAGACATTGGCTACATGTTCATAGCATTCATACTTCTTAAACATATAGTTCTTAAATAAGAAATATTACGTTAATATATTTTTAAATTTTAGAAACAGTGTTAATACTTTTTAGAAAAAGTTTATAGTAGTAAATATTTAATAACTGTTGAAATGAAGACTTCCAACAGATGGTTCAGCAACAGAAATCACTTCAGTTGATAAGCTGTGCAGCAAGCCACGCTGAAAATGCTGATAAATAAAATATACTTAATGTAATTTTAATAGTAAATGATATAAATATTCCTAACAAGTTTTGTAAATCTTTAAACAAAAATAACAACATTCAGAAAAGACATATAAGGCAGTAAAATATACATTTAAATCAATGTACGAGTATTATTACTACATTACCATATTCTTATTAAAGTTATTAATTTCAGTATTATTTCTTTTACTTACTCCATACATATTTCTCTCTATTTATCTGGAATTTAAAATTAAGCAAAAAAGCAACTTTAGTTTAATACAAATTTTGATTTAAACTCTTTTGACTTTGAAGGCAATCAGATACCGGTTTCTTTCTTTTAGGAGCAAATTTGAAGAAACCAGACCCATGTATGACCGTCCTCGAAAAACTATCCAAAAACTACATCAAATTGAGGTTTTATGCTTAATTTTCAATATATGATTATAATAACAAAGTACATATACTTAATTATATATATAACAACAAACAACAGCAAAATTTTAATTTTTTAATCTAATCTTAGGGACTGTAATTACAGCTTTATCACATAATGCCTTAATTTCAATATTTTGATTCTTTTATAAAGCAACTTAGTCCATTTGTAGTAAAAAAACGTATCTTTTTTGAAAACCATAAAAATAAAAAACACATACATTACAAAAATTTAATGTAACTTAATGGTGCTTTCGTAAACCAATGCATTTTAGACGCTGTTGGGTCAACAGTTGTGGCGGATTAAGCACATTGAAAAGAGTTGGCACAGCATTGGGCTTTACGTTTTTACGTCCATCTTGCCTAGAGCAATTCAAATTTTTTAAGAGCTATAGCAAAAACATTTAAAACATGTCACATTTGAAAGTTTAGAGAAGCTCTATAAATAAAAGAAATAATGCATAATTAATATTATTAACAATAAACGAAATTTTTATAATCCTTAACCAAATAAAATCGAATTACCCTAAACTTTTTCCCTAATGTAATTAACAAAAACTTGTGAAAATATTTCATTAAACCGTTCTGAGCAAAATGTTCTGTGAAAAGTATAGCATTTAATTCCGTCCAGAATAAAATGTTGTTTAAAAATGTATTCTTTTCACATACTTAAGACTCTGAAATATTATAGAAAAAGAAAATATATACATTTATATATTTACGACGTAACTACAAAATATTTACATCCAATCGTGTCAAAAGCTATTGATCTTAATGATAAGTCACTCAATGTTTTGGTTACCACGAAGGGATCGCTAGTGTTTCAAAGCAGTGTATGGCTCAAATCGGTTAAAGCCTCTCTTTCTTACTTCTTACCTCCATCAGCCTTCTTGTCACCCACATAAACGATGACCCTTAAGTAAATTCAAGAACTAATTGTGACTTTAGAAGTATAGAATGGACTCCAACTTTTTCTGGATAGGTATAGTGTTTCATGTACTCGCGGAAGCCAAAAGCAGAGATAGAATACGTACACTAGTTACAGTTATAGACCTAAATTATGAAATTGCCCAAACACAGGTACCGGGATTTCACGCTGGAAGAGTTTATCTAGAATAATAATAAATAAATAAATAGTTCAGATATAGTGGTCCTTAAGGGGCCCACCGGAAAAGGGCTCACCAGCGGACGAGCAGTAAAGTTGCTAAAAAAACTGGTAGTTCGGACGAGGTTCGAATCCCGGCAAACGGACTGACTGCATGGACGTTTTCATGGATTTCCCATGTTTAACGTGTATATGAGCCAGTTTCCCTGAGAAAGTCTTCCACGAAGGCATCTGCCTTTAGGCAGATAGCTATCGAACGCTTTGCCGTGATGAAATAAACCAACCCGACAGCGGAAAGCAAGGCATCAGTTCAGCCAAAACCCTCGTACAACTGCGTAGATCATAGTGAACTATAAACGGCCGTTTGCATTAGGGTTTATCTGAGCTAATGTTGACATCTAGCACAGCTGAAACTATTCCATGATGTCGAGAAATCTAGCTTTTCTTTAGTTTAAACATTTGTAATTTGACGTATAATGGAGCTAGTCGACACATGGAACTGAATTTTATTTTTAAACCAGTATGAACGGCCAATTACGTCTTTCAAGCAAATTTTCCTGCTTTTTCTCCCAAAACTCAATTCTATTAAGAGCTGAAAAGCGATAAGGATAATCCAAACAGACTGGACACTAATAAAATCGCAACGTGACGTTTGAAGAAACTGAAGATGCCTTCGAAAATATATCTTCTATAGGTAACGCTAAGAGAAACCACATTTTTAAACTGAAAAATAGTGCTAATGTTGCTTATTCTCTCAACAATCATGGAAGAGATTAGTGAACTTTAAAATTAAATGCTTGAACTATTGTCTCGCACTAATCTTGCAATTAGAGAACCTCAGCTACTTCTTAAGAAAACATCAAAATTTGTGTATACCGCCCTGAAAATCTTTCGCTACAAAATACCACTTTCATTGTTATGAACTAATTTTAGAATTTACCACATTATTTGCAAAACACAAATAGAAGCCACTTGATTTTATTCAGATTCAAGCGGTGAACGGAAAGCACGGTCTTTTCATGTCCCCCCCCCGTTCTGTAATAGCCAGTTTTCCTTAGAACTTTAAGTCTATTTTCCTCACAGGAGGTAACCACTCCGAAGGTAGGCAAATAGCCCTCATGTAGTTTAAAGTCTTTCCCTCGAGTCCAAATAGACAAAACCTCAAATCAAATCAAACCGTTTCTTAGTTTCCGCAGTATATAGTAGAGCAAGCTACTTTGACTGCGTCTATTGAAAGTTTGTGCCCTAAAAGGCGTTGGTAATTTTAAAAGATGAGGCGAAAATCGCCGCGCCGTACAAGGCGAAGCTCGATCAAATACTCACACGGAATGTAATTTGTAGAATTTTACATGAGAAATTTGCTTAAGGTTGAGGGAGCTTAGCGGCTAACCGTCCGAGCTGGGAGTTGCTTCAAGGTGGCTTCAAGGTGCTTCGAGGCCAGTCACGTGGGTTGTCACCCACCCAAGTACTAACCCAGAGAGGAACCGCTTGAAAAAGAAGTTTGCGTGTAGGCAAAGTTTTGTTGATACTGGTCTTTCTGTAGATAACATTTTTTTTTTTTTTTTTTTAATTTTTTGTTTCAGCTACTTGCATAAGATATTGGAATATCTGAAATCCTATTCTCAGTTTCTCTGTGGTGTTTTTAGCGTTTTTTAATTTTTGAATTAATATCAGATTTTGAAAGTGATTCATGATTCCGGCATCTTGGGAAGTTGACTGCAGGTTTCGAAAAGCAGTGTTCAGATTATCTTCTGTTAATTTATTCTGTAGGATATTGCTATAGCTTGATTTCTTAGTAGTGTACATAACATTTTGTTTAGACAAGTTCAGAAGCGGGACGTTTTCAGCGTTATTCTCTGGTATCTGTGGCCGTGGGAAATTCTGAGTTTTCTCAGTGGGTTTCTTAGCGATGTTTCTTCTATTTATTTCTGCCATTCTACTTTGATATTCACTACATCCAGTAAATGAACTCACGTCATTTTTATTAAAGAAAACGCATTTAGGAGGATCTGTCTTCTTTAGATTACATTCTTTAATTCTGTGATTCGAACCGCATTTGCAGCTGATATGGATTTGATATGGGATGGTGACATCGATGTTGGGTATGCCTATACCGCTGGCATTTATAGCACAGGGTTGGGCGTTTTCCGTTATTTCTATATTTCTCGATCCTTACATTAAAGCTAAAAATGTTGTTTACGTTGTAGATTGCATTTCCTTCGTCGGTGTTGTCAAGTTCAGCAAAATATAGGGGAAGTTTTTCGAAAGTGTCTTCTACTCTTCTGGTGAATTGTTTGATTTTGCGGAAGGGAAATTTTCTTTCAGTTAAATTTCGAAATATTACTTCGGCGGAGATGATTTCTTAAATTCCTTTGATGACACCCTACGTTACACAAAACCTCACATAACTTCGTACTTTAATCTCTTTGCAGTTATTTCTTTACTACAGCCAATAGAATTTTAGCATTGGGATTTTTCTTCAAACTATAGGTGTTGCACGAGTCGCTGCAACTTCAGTATTCCGCTCTTTCCACAGTATTCAACTTATAATCGCCTCATTCGGAGCTGTGATAGCGAGCGTGAAGGTCGCACGTTGGATAAGCTCTGTTACTTTGTTTCAAGTTGACCCAGTCCTGTAGGCGGTCAGCGAATAAATAGTTACTTGTGGTATAGCTACCCTCATACCTCATAGTTCTAGTTAGTTCTACTTCACCGCTTTAATTGCATGCGATTATTATTGTTTGACTGTGCCATATTGCCTATAATTGTCGGTTATCACTTATTTTAGCTGATTTTTGCGGTGCACATTTTACTTAGGTTCTGGTCGTGATATCCCGTATAGTTACCCCCAAGCTTTCGCTTCAGGTGATTGTTAGGGGCCTTTCGGGATTTTCGCCTGCACATCTGTCTGCCGGGACGCCTTTGAGCGAGCCCGGTTCCAGGGTGCAGAACTCTACTTATTTGGGGTCGCTGGATTTTTTGGATTTGACTTGCGAACATGGATGCGGTACTAGGAGCGGTTAGAGTGAAAATTAAGGACTTAGAGGATTTAAGAGTGAAAAACGGAGACTACGGATACTGAATGTAAGTTATTTAAATTTTTACACAGTATGTTAGAAATGCTACAATTGGTTCATGATCAATTAACTAAGGATAAAGCGACAGAAATCCCGAAAAATATCAGGCTATGAGGAAAAGATTCACGAGGTTTATGATAATCGAAAACCGATTGAGGATAATGAACGTAGGCGAAGCCCAATCAAACTAAATGATTTTTCGACTAGTGAAAATGAAAAAGAAATCCCATTAGACCAGGTTACAAGTTCTGAAGATGAAACCCTAATTAGAAGAAAGGGTGATCAAACAGTCAGAACGAAAAGCAAATACTCCCATGTTAAGAAAATGAAATTTTCAAACATGACACAAATCAGGACAAACAATTTACCCATTAGTGACAACACTGACAGCTCCGTTACTCAATTAGCAGCACAGATTGATAACACACATATTGAAAATCACGATATGGACACTAATAACCATGAAACAATTAGCACGGATACTAATACAAATAATACACTCATGTCCATAAATTTAGGATAATGCAAAATCAGGCAAAGGAAGAGTTAGAAGCAAAACAAATTTGACTTATTTGTAAAGCTTATTTATTAAACAAAAGGTAAAGAGCAAAAAAAGATGCTATATGTTTAATATTATTAAAAAAATTAGCGATTTTTTCTCCCTGGAGCAAACTACAAAAAAAAAACCTATTTACAAAAACCAATATTACATGGTTGGTATGATTGTTAATACATTGTATGTCTCCCAGACGATGCAATACAGTCTGTACAACGCCTAGGCATGCTGAGTATCAAAGTAGCGATCTGATCTTGGGGGATATTACACCACTCAAAAAGCAATGCTCTCCGAAGTTCCGGTAGACATGTAAGAGGAGGTTGACGGGCTGCAACTCGTCGGCCAAGCATGTCCCACACGTGCTCTACTGGATTCAAGTCCGGTGAGAATGCTGGCCAGTCCATACGGGTGATATCCTCCGATTGAAGGCATTCGCTTACGATGTTTGCACGGTGAGGACGGGCGTTGTCATCCATAAACACAAATTGTGCGCCCATGGCGCCCCGAAACAAACGTACATGTTGTTCCAGAATGCCGTCCCGATAGATTTGGCTTGTCATGGTTCCAATTTGAACATGCAGGTCAGTTCTGGAACCCAGAATAATTCCACCCCAAACGAGCATTCCTGCACCACCGTAACGGTGTCGTTCAATGATGTTTTCCTGGTGGTAACGGCTACCTGGAGCTCTCCATATGGAAGTCCGGCGAGAATCAGACTGCAAGCTAAACCTGGACTCGTCGGAAAACATCACACAAGCCCACTGTTGCGGTGTCCACAATGCATGCTCTCTACTCCAGGCTAACCGCAGGCGACAGTGAGTTGCAGTAAGTGGAACGCATCTGACAGGTCTACGAACATATAGACCAATCTGCCCTAAGCGTCTGTACACGGTCTGCCTTGAAATTGTCGTACCAGTGTCTGAAGAGAGTTGACGAGACAGGTCTGAGGCTGTGCTCCGCCTGTTTCTTTTGGCAGTAACTGCCAAATACCGGTCCTCATTCGGCGTTGTAACTCTGGGGCGACCTATGCTGTAACGTCTACTCACATTACCATCATCTTGGAATCGTTGCCAAAGCCTGGAGATGACACTCTGGGCAATTCCAAGTTCGTCTGATACTTCCAGTTGGGTACGCCCACATTCCAGACGGCCGATAATTCTACCACGTAAAAAATCATCCAAATGCGTCCTTTGTGTCATAACTATTCGGTTATTGCACTGAAATGCTTATAAAGCGCCTGCGAACAATTTTACTTCTTTGCCTGTATTCCTTATATATCACT